ATGGAGCCCATCTTCGGGGCATGGTGAGAAATGAAGCCTTGCATCTGGGGCCAGGAGATCCCTTCCAGCAGGGCAGGGCAATCTGCAGCTCGTCCTGCTCTTCCTCCATGCCCAAGCCACAGCTCCTCTCTTGCTCTCTGCTGTGCTATGCCAAGGCTGTCAAGACCTTCCCCTTCCCTTTCTGCGCCTGCTCCGCGGTGCCTGGTCAGGAGCTGAGTGCCGAGTCCACCTTAGTGGGACCGGGGTACGGTACTCAAGCCTGAGAAATTTCGTCTGCCAAACCTGACAGCCTTCGAGTTCTGCTTCTTAATCCAACGTGTGCCTGTAACACTGAACTGCCCGTACTCACCAATTATGCTGTCAGGGACTTAAGTGTATTATCAGAACGAGGATGATAAAAATTCAGTCATCTGCATTTTTATACCCTAATCTTTCTCTTCATAAATAAGACCAAAGTGCATGTTATCTAATGAATTTTATTTGTTAATCACTTGGATGGCTGGAATATTTCTCCCCCTTGGGTTATATGTATATAAATGAAAATATTGTTAGTGATTTCACAAAATAGTAATTCAGAATAATGGAGAGTTAATCCTCTTTTCATTAGCGAGCCACTTCAGGACATACACTGTGGCAAATTACACTGCATTTTAAGTCATTCTCAAGTACTGTGCACTAGAAAAAAACATTAAACTATTTTTGCATTGATAGAAGTAATTGTGTGGCTAATTTGGATGAGCAGCATGCATTAGGCACAGCAAAGGAATCTCTTCTTTATGTTCACTATCCATTCTACAGCTGCCAAATGGAATTTCTTGTAGAGCTCTTTAGCTTTTTTATTTTATTTTTAACAAAACGAGCAGGGAGGAAAGAAAGTGCAAGGGAAAAAAAGGACAATCTGCTGGTCTATTGGCTGTTTAATTCTGTGAGTGAATACAGTCTAGTGGCTGCAGCAGTGCTATGGCAGTGAAAGGTTTCATTTCTGCACCTTGTTCTGAGTCCCTTGAAATACTCAAATTAACCCAGTGTTTCCAGGAAAACCCTGAGAAGTCACAGAACATAGTGAATCGGTTTAAAATTTGTTCAACTCAAGGGATATGCCTCCCCCACCCCAAAATTTGTAGGGGGTTAGTTAATGCTTTTGGAAAGGTCGGAGCTCTACAGTTGGGTAATCCCACGGATGAGGGGGGAAAAAAACTGAGGTTCATATCTAGAGGTGAACGTCAGAGTTTCAGCGGTGGTGTGTACATTTCTAATGCTGGTTTTCCAGATGTGGTGGAAGTTTCTGAGTACTTTGAGACTGAAAGCTATAAGTCATTATCTACATAACAAAATACTATGTTTCTTAATATTTTTGGCTCAACGTGCTGTGCAAGCCCTAGTGCTGTGTATAAAGATGCCAAACAATTTGGCAAGATTTATGCCTGGGAGTTAAGATCCAAGTCAGCTGTAGAGATTTTAAAAAAAAAAAAAAAAAAAAAAAAGCAGGCATGCACAGACAAGGATTGTGTTTGCCTTTGTCCTTTGCAAGGACCTATGTACCCTCTCTCTTTCTTTTCTGCATCCCTCTCTGACCCAGGAGGGTTCCTCCATCGCTGCTGTTGTCCCAGGCATATGCACTCTGGCTGCCAATTTGTAGCAGTGTTTGTGTGCCTGAAGCACCAATCTCCAGTGAGATTGGTACAAACATGCAACAAGAGAGTCTAAACAAATAAAAGGTGGGAAGAAAAACGGAGACAGAAGACAATTTTCCTCACTGTTTCCTTCAGAAGAAACAACTGTAATCCTGTTAGCTGTTCTGTCCTCCCTGACATAGGGCACAAGGCTTCCTTGCCTTAATGCCCGCTTCAGTCCATATTTATATAGCAGAATAGTTTAAATTCTTTACCACCCATGTTTCCTGCTCTTGGGAGTTCTCCCAGCCTGTATGACATCAATCACCTGTGCTAGTGGGGCTTTTGATGCTGGCTTTATTACATTTAATTTGGTGTGCACAAGTGTACTGACCTTGGTTTTATACTCAGAGTTGTCTAAAAGCTACTTCCCCCTGAAAATACCAAGCGATCACCAATTCTTCTGGTTTAGCTGGGAGTTAAAGGTTTTCAGCATCCAGCAAGCACCTAAATATATAACTTATTTGTGAATGTGGAGGCAGATTTTAATCTTATTCCTGTTTGATGCTTTCAGATTTTGCTTCCCACCTCCTTCCTCATGACAGCTCTGAAAAAGGAGTGGAGCTGTGATATTTTAAGGATTTTTTTCAAGATGCGAAGTGAGGGAATTAAAATAACCTAAGCGGACTATCTGTCTGTCAACTCTGGGCCTTTCGTGAGATGTCTACAGAAGTAATGACATTTCCAGTAGACCTGATAACCACACCAGTGCAGTAGGAGATAAACATGGTGCCCTTGAAATTAGTCAGTGGTTTGACTCTCAAGTTTGGGGGCTGAATTTACCTACTCCTATGAACACTAAATTTGAAAGAAGGACAATAAAATGGGGAAAAAACCCTCCTGTAATTATTATTAAGAAATCATTTTTTTACATGAAGTGCTTATTACTGAGAAATTATTTGGATTTTCTTTTCTGATGTTGTATGGAGAGCTGACTTATTTGAATGTGTTTATTTATCAGGTAGAATTCAACACCACGGAAATCAGAGGACGTATCTCTTCTAGGGGGTCCAAACTTGAGACCTTCTTGGCTTCCAGACAACTGCAAAAATAATGCTTTTACTTTTATTTACTGATTTCTTTCAGTTTAATAACTACCTTAGATGAGACCTTCGTGGAGAAACAGCATCTGTAACAAGGGTGTACAAGAGATGGAAGTACCTGAGAGAAGGTAAGGATGGAGAATACCAGTTCTTCTACACTCTCAAAAAAAAAAGTGTGCAAAAGGCTTGAATCCAGTTTAGTAACTGTCTCCAGGTAAGCACGCTCTCAGTGCTGAAGGCAGACAACAATCAGTTCTAATGACTGAGTGTCTTCAGAAATAGCAAGAGGGAATCTGTTGAGCAAGTTCCTGAATTCTTAAGAAATGTGTTGTTCTTCATTTCCAGCCAGCATGCCAGGTACATACCTCCCTTCAGGGTGAAAAAGTACTTACCCTTTTCGAGTATGACTAAGCAGACGGCTGTTTTACAAACTGG